TTCACTGCATGTAGTACACAATCCTGACTGATGTTTCCCTATCGTAAACCAGAACGTTGAGTAATAATTATGTCTTCTTTTCTATTGTTAAAGCATACTCTCCTTTTGCCAACTTGTTTTTGGATATTGTAAAGCTGTCTGCCCTTTAGATCCTTGTCCCACATTTCCTGCCACTTTTTATTCATGTGTTCTTTAATTCTTCCTTGTATTTCTACTTTACTCAGTGGAATTTGTACCTCAACGTTCATATGTTTTATTGCTTGTTTGGCCAGTTTATCGACTGTTTCATTCTCTACACTCTTAAAAATAAAGCTGCTTCACGATGCCATAGAAGAACCTTTTTGTCTAAATGGTTCCTTAAAGAACCTTCAACACCTGAAGAACCTTTCTGCTTCACAAAAGCTTCTTTGTGGCGAAAGAAGGTTCTTCAGATTATAAAAAGGTAAGAAAGAGATGGTTCTTTAACTGAATGCTTCTTTGTGGAACCAAAAATGGTTCTTCTATGGCATCGCTTGAAGAACCTTTTGAAGCACCTTTATTTTTAAGAGTGTAGTACTCCTACATGTGCAGGTACCCATAAGGTACCAATTTCCTGAATCCTAAGCAGATTTATAAGTATTTCATAGATTAAATCCTTTCTTGATGTTGGTTGTTCACTTTTTAAACTATTTAAAGCTGACAAGGAATCTGTACAAATGACTACGCTAGTAGGCTTAACTTCCTCCACCCACTGAATAGCTAATACCATTGCTATTAGCTCTGTTGTAAAGACTGATACAAAATTAGTTATCCTTTTTTGAATGTTGACTTGTAATCTTTGGATATATACAGCTGCAGCTGACTTTCCTGATGTAGGATCTTTAGAACCATCTGTGAAGATATGGAGCATCGAAGAGTAATTTTGATCTAGATATTGTTGAACAACAACCTCCTTAGATAACGTTTTCTCATTCGTAACCATATATTGTAGATGAAAATCTAATTGAGGCACAGGAAGCAACCAAGGAGGAATATTCGATATTACAACAGAGGTACTAACTGAGATTAGGCCTACCCTCACTCACTATTCCCTACATTAGGTCACTAATTCAGTTCGCTTGAAGGAATGAATGAAAACAAGTGAGTGAATTCAGACACTCAGTGCACCAGATAGTTTGTGCTTGCTGTTTAATAATCACTTAAAACTGGCAAATTGGGAGCTCCAGTAGAAAGATTAAAGGATTTATCTTGAACTCTGTCATGGAAATTATGTATAGACTCTGGTTAAACAATCACTCACTCAGTCACCTCTGTCACTTACAGTGGTGGCAAATGTAGTTTTGGCCTCTGTAACTGCAGATCTAACCACCTAGAAAGGATGTGCTGTTGTTTTATTCCAGTGCCTCATCATTACATAGCAGCAGAAAAGGGATGCAAACTCATCATGGGTGAAAAAGGTGAGAAAGACACGCAACCCACAAAAAAAAAAGTCGGAGAGAGTTGACTTGTAACCCGAAGGTCACGGGTTCAAGTCTCAGGTCCGGCAGGAATTGTCGGTGGGGGGAGAGAATATCCAGTGCTCTCTTCCACCCTCAATACCACGACTGAGGTGAGACACTTGAGCAAGAACCGAATCCCCAACTGCTCCCCGGGCGCCGCAGCAATATGGCTGCCCACTGCTCAGGGTGTGTGTTCATGGTGTGTGTGTGTGTGTGTGTGCGCGCACTTGGATGGGTTAAATGCAGAGCAGAAATTCAGAGTATTGGCCACACGTCACTTCACTTCACAACACATTTTAGTATTGTACATTACATCAGTTTTGTAGTAGATCAAAAAGGATTTGCATCTATACACATATGTGTAGATTCATCTCAAAAGAGATTTGCACCTGCAGTATACACCTATGTGTAAATTCTAATCAAAATAAACATTTTACATTTAAAGTCAGAATAAACATTTTAGATTAAAAAAAAAAAATCTGCGTGAGATTAAGATGAGATTAAATTAAATGAGATTAAAAAATGCTAGGCTATAAGTGGCCACATATTGGCCATAAAATTCTTCAATGGAATTTTGACCTCCTTAATAGTGTAACAGTGCAAGACTGAGCTATTTGAGTCAACATTTGACTCAACTGATGATATTTATGTCTATCCAAAAGAGAAGGAAACCTGTTTGAAACCAGTCCTTTGCATTTCTTTTTTATAAATCCTGAGATGGTTCATTTAATGTCATTTCATATCTCCCAAACGTTCATTTGCCTGAAACAACAACAGAGAATTATTATTACACATGTAACCTATGTTAGGTATGTTTTTGATTCTTTGAAGAAACTGTCAAACATGAAAAAAGCAGCATCATATTTCAACTAAGCATAAAGGAACATAAATGGGTACTGTCATAATTATGTATTCTTATTAAAATAGAGGTGACACAGGTTAGAAACGTTTGAAGGAACAAAAACAAAAAATGAAAACATACTACATTTTTTGCAGAACCAGAAAGTAAGAGCACAGTGTAATTTCATGTGTAATCAGTGTTCTTTTAATCTAATCAACCTCAGTTAATTAACCCCAGTTCAGTCGGTAGATCCATTACCAAAACAAACATAACTGGACTGGTGTACCTTCAGAATTTAAATTGTTCCTCTCTCCACCATCATCACGACCGTATGTGTAGTCTAGAAAGACACAGATTATATGAAAACATGTACATATACATCTAAAAAAAAAAAAAAAAAATTAGAAATACACTGCCAAAACTGTCCAGCTCTAGTTCGTAGATTTTAAAACGTCAAAACAAGGATATACAAAAACAAGAGATTTAATGCAAGACACTACTGGCAAAACCATTGTTTTCCATACACTGGTAAATTTTAAGATTTTGGGCTATTTTGCTTTCATAACATATTTTCTTTCAGACTAGTGGACAGAAAACATCCTAAATAATACAAATTTAAGTGTAAGTTTTCTCTGGCTGATGACAGTATTTTCTGATTTACAGAGAAATCTAACATCCCCTCGGTAAAAACCTCTAATATGTCGACAAAATTAAACAAGAATTCTGAACTTGGCTTTATCCAATGTTCAGATTCATGTTCTGGACAATAATGCAAATTAGTTCATATTAAATTAGAGTGTGTCATTTGCATATTCAAAATATAATTTCAGTAAAATTGGAATACAAAAAGTTTTTCAATTCTTAAAGTCCGTGTGAGCCGGAAGCTGCTGCTGACTTTATTTCAGTATAGTGACGTATTTCCAACTGAAAGGGAATATTGAATAGAGGGCGGGGTTTTATTTTTGCGCTCCTTGGCTCCTCATCTTCATCTCTCATTCATAGCAAACTAACGTTTGGAGGGACATGGTTAAGGATTTTTCTGGCCAAGCTATTCATAGTTTTCTCGTGACTCGTTACGCCTACGTCATACGCTCGACCGCCTTGTTGTGAACACCTGCTTGAGCGACCAGAAGCTGGACATTACAGTTGATAAAGTTTTAAGAATCTATATTTTTTGTTAAACTAACGCATCGTTTCGCTTCAGAAGGCCGTTATTAACACCCTGGAGCCATGTGGAGTAGTTTTATGATGGATGGATACATTTTTTTTCAGATTCAGAAACGGGGGCACCATTCACTGCAATTATACAGATTGGAACAGACAGGACAATGTCGAATATAACTCCGAATGTGTTCGTCTGAAAGAGGAATGTCAAACATGCCTAGGATGCCTTGTGGGTGAGTAAATCAAATGGTTCAGGTCATACTTAGAAGGGAAAGGTTATTATGTGAGTATAGGAGAGCATAAGTCTAAGTGGACGTCCATGACATGCAGAGTCCCACAAGGCTCAATTCTTGCACCGCTCTTGTTTAGCCTGTATATGCTCCCACTAAGTCAAATAATGAGAAAGAACCAAATCGCCTATCACAGCTATGCAGATGATACCCAGATTTACCTAGCCTTATCTCCAAATGACTACAGCCCCATTGACTCCCTCTGCCAATGCATTGATGAAATTAACAGTTGGATGTGCGAGAACATTCTTCAGTTAAACAAAGAAAAAACCGAAGTCATTGCATTTGGAAACAAAGATGAAGTTCTCAAGGTGAATGCATACCTTGACTCTAGGGGTCTAACAACTAAAAATCAAGTCAGGAATCTTGGTGTGATTCTGGAGACAGACCTTAGTTTCAGTAGTCATGTCAAAGCAGTAACTAAATCAGCATACTATCATCTCAAAAACATTGCAAGAATTAGAGGTTTTGTTTCCAGTCAAGACTTGGAGAAACTTGTTCATGCCTTTATCACCAGCAGGGTGGACTATTGTAATGGTCTCCTCACCGGCCTTCCCAAGAAGACCATTAGACAGCTGCAGCTCAGCCAGAACGCTGCTGCCAGAATTCTGACTAGAACCAGAAAATCTGAGCATATCACACCAGTCCTCAGGTCCTTACACTGGCTTCCAGTTACATTTAGGATTGATTTTAAAGTACTTTTACTCATTTATAAATCACTCAATGGCCTAGGACCTAAATATATAGCAGATATGCTCACTGAATATAAACCTAACAGACCACTCAGATCATTAGGATCGAGTCAGTTAGAAATACCAAGGGTTCACACAAAACAAGGGGAATGTGCTTTTAGTTATTATGCCACCCACAGTTGGAATCAGCTTCCAGAAGAGATCAGATGTGCTAAAACATTAGTCACATTTAAATGCAGACTCAAAACTCATCTGTTTAGCTGTGCATTTATTGAATGAGCACTGTGCGATGTCCGAACTGATTGCACTATATTTTATGTATAATCGTTTTCTATTCTTAACCGTTTTAAATTCATTTTAAATGATTTTTTAAATCATTTTCAAAGTTTTTAAATTCCTTGTTTTATTGTTGTGATTATTTTTTTCTTTTCTTTTATGTAAAGCACTTGGAATTACCATTGTGTATGAAATGTGCTATACAAATAAACTTGTCTTGCCTTGCCTAAATCTTGGACTAATTTTCATTTTTGGGTGAACTATCCCTTTAAGTAGTAATGTAGTAAGTCCTTTTTGATGATGCATACTTTGTACAGGCAAGCAGATGAACCCAGAATATAAACGCAATGCGCAAAGTTTAATATTAAATGTTTTCCCATAGAAAACCATTATAAAGAAAACACTTCACCATTTAGCATACTGCGTTCATATTCCGAGCTCATCTGCTTGCCTGTATAAAGCATGAATCATACCGAATTTGATCTTTTAATGACACTGCTTTAAAGCCACATTAAGTGTTTTCACATTAAACGTTTTAGAATGTGCGCCGGGTGTTTTATATGTTGCAAATGGCCAAAAATTGCTTTATTGTTTTATCCTTGACCTAAATGATCTAACTATGTGTGGATTGGAAACAGATGGAAAATTGAAAGGCTTGTGCTGCAGATCTATAGATGTTTTGCCCGCCATGTCTCCAGTCACGTGACTGAAAACTATGAATGGCCCAAGCCGTCAAACTGACGTCATCAGAGAAGGCATGCCATTCCAGAGCGTAAGCAAATGATCAGATTTTGATTAAAGATTACCAAGACAAACTATTTTTTACAGTGGATTAATTGTTGACCTTAAGACTATAATGTGGGCTAACAAAATAAATATTGTACATTTTGATTTCATGCGGACTTTAATATGATAAATCAGCTGTGGAGGTATGATGACAACTATTAGTTCATTTTTTTACCCTGTTCACCTGTAGAGTCTTTCCTTAAAACAACAATGAACATTGTTAATACTGAATATTTATAACTCACCATTTGACTTTTTCCTTTTGTAGATGCAGTAACAAATCACAGCGAGAACTAGAACTAGAACTAGAACTGCTGCTCCTGCTATAACAAACCATAGAAATTCTGTTTCACAGTCAAAACATGTTCCATCTGCAAAATAAATAAAGCATAAATATTACAAATGTTGTTTTTAATAAATATTTTAACTGTTGAACTGAATTGAGGCACTTTAACTGTAATCATTTGTAAACAGAAACATTTATCCATTTCGGCATTATCATGTTCTACTGCTACAATGTAATTATAATGTGCCTACTTGTATTTACATTTCATAATTTTAATGTAGAAGACTCATTTTGCTTGTATTCACTTAAGACTGTATGTATGATGATATTTACCCCATTCTACTGACACTGGTTCTGTCCGGCTGCTGTGAATGACCAAACAGTCATAAGATCCTTTGTCTTTTCTGTCGATCTCCACACTGGATCTGATCTGAAAGGTTTCATCATCATTTGATCTGATTCCAGAAGATGTTTGGCTCTCAATGTTAATTCTGTTCAGTCTGATGTTCATCTCAATATCTCGGGGGTAGAAACCAGTGGCCAGACAGCTCAGAACCAGCTTACTGCGATCATCAGGAGTTCTCCTCGCAAACACACGAACATCCGGTGAATCTGGAGCAGCAGAAATCATAATGAAAGTAACAAATACAATTTGACAAAGAATTTGGTTTTATGTGTAAAGCTATTATATTCTTCACATTCATTCACGTATTCATGTGTGTAAATGATCACAATTACACCTAAGAAGTAACCCCTATACATGAATACAACCTTAAAAGATTTTTTTTAATTAAAAGTGTTTCACAATGTGAAGGGCTGCTGATGTGTCATTTTTTAGATACAAACCCAGAAAGTTAAATCAAACACTCAAATAATGACATTTCAACTAAATGTGTCCTCAACGGTGTTACATTTTCAACTCATCATTACGTATTTTTCAATACATGATGATCTCCTGAACTAATGTCATGCTCACACTTTAGCTAATTAAAGGGATCCGATCAGAACTTACTCTTTTGTGTGTTATTAAAGGTGGAGATCCAGTTCATGCAGGTCTTGAGGTAATGATGCAGGAGTTCATTGCGCACTGTTTGAAGGTCCCAATGCATTTTGGTTTCTTTAGCTTTGGGGTTTTTATCAATCCACTGCAGAGTTTCAGAATCAAAGACCATAAAATCCTCTCCATCAAATCCATATTCATCAAATGCTCTCAGACTCACTGTTCCATCAGGAAGTTTCTCCAGTTCACAACCAATCATTCTCTGAAGAACATGGAGCTCTACAATCACAGAACAACACTCATGATACATGTAGATTAATATATGCAGTTTCATAACATATCTGACCATTAATGTGTAAATTAAACTCACGAGAACACTGAGAGTCTGTGCATTTTGACAGAGTGTTTAACTGATGTAGGAACCTGTCTCTAGAATCAGGTGGTTCTTCAGGAGCTTCAGTCCAGTCATCTTCAGTCAGAATCCAGACTCTTTCTTCATTACTGTAGTGTTTGATCTGTCTGCCATCAGCAACAGCTCCAGCACTGAACTCTGGGAAAGTGTCTGCTTTGGAAAGAGCTGTAAACTTGTAGTGGAGGGAATGTTTCTCTGAGGAACAGACAGTATAAAACACAAGCAATGACAAAACGTAAAAGGACTGACAAATGGTGGATAAACCTGAAAACAAACTCTAAAATACAAACCCGATTCCAAAAAAGTTGGGACACTGTACAAATTGTGAGTAAAAAAGGAATGGAATAATAAAATTGTAATTTATTTTTACATTATATTTTATATTATTATAAAACGATTTATAGTGTGTTTGTCTACCGAAACTAATAAACCGTGTTCTTACCTTGCTGCGCATCGCCAAGATAAAATAATAAAAAAATTAATACAAAACACAAAAACATTCTACACAGGAAATGTTTAAAAACTAGAGCCTATCATTTTTTTGTAGTTGTTCTTTCCATTTTCGATAACATGGAAGAGCAGGTCTACATCAAACTGAAAGTAGATTTTGTTTGTCTCTTCCGGATTGTGTTGAGAGCACTGCTGCTCCTCATCGGAGGCTTAGTAATATTACACTTTCGCTTTCACTCCTGGGTAGGGTTGCACCAGCCATTCGTAAATCCTGACTTAAATTAGAACGTTAAGTCCACACTAGAGGCTTAGTAACTTTTTTTTAATTTTTTTTATTAATGCTCAAAAATCAAGATTAGTACACATAGAATAATACAACCATTAACATAAAAAAGATAAACAATAATAAAAAAGAAAGAAAAAGAACAGGAAAAAATGAAAAAGGGGGTTGTTAATACATTATAAACTGAAAGAATAAAATTCAGATTTACATGTCATTAAAGATAGGAAAAGAGTTACAGATA